TGGAGATCAAAGGAAGGGTAGGGCTCTAAAAATTGAATAAAGGAATAGGCCTTTGGGAAGAAATGATAATCAAGATTCCATCAATGGATGATGGGATAAAGAAGTGGTATCAGAATACATGTGGGCATGCTTGTGGGTATGCGTACCACCCCCCCCCCACATACATACATACAGAGGAATACTACACAGTCATGAAAAGAATGAAATCTTGCCAGTTACAATAACGTTGATGAACTTAGAGGGTGTTATGCTTATAATACTGAGACAAATACTGTATGATTTCACTTATATGTGGATCTAAAAAACTAAACTAAAATCCTAAGACAGACTACCATAGGGTAGAAATTTTGGGGGAGGGGACTCAAGGAGCATAAAATAAATAAGTCAAAGAGATATGATGGACAGCATGGAGACTATAACCAATAATATGGCTTTGCAAATTTGAAAGTTACTAAGATGGTAAATAGACTCAAAGTGATGGTCATTTTACAGTGTATACAAATGTCAAATCATGATGTTTCATATCTGAAGCAGATAATGTTGTATGTCAATTATATTTCAATAATAATAATAAAATAAAGCATTGGTTTGGGTTGCTTGTCTTTTATAATGTAAGCAACCCCCTATCCCTTCCCTCATCTTCAGTAAAGTCTGCTACATACACAAACATCTTAGACTAATAATTAATAAAACAACATGTTATACTTTCAATGTATCATACTGCTTAAGTGTTTTACATACACTGACTTATTTAATCTTCATTAAAAACCTTATAGAATCAGTAATATTCCATTTTTTTGTGAATGAAGAAACTGAGGCACAAAGAGTAAATAATTTTTCTAAATTCATTCCTGGTTAATATACTTCGAAACATCACTAGGTATTAACATGCTATTATTTATTTAAATGCCAGTAATTCAAAAGATTTGAAAAATGATACAGCAAATACTTGACAATCATTTTAAATTACCAAGCTATAAACTGGTGGAGAGCTATCACATGGAGGGGCGTAGGCTAGGACTGATTTTTGTTTGTTTTCTCTTCTGAACTAAAGGAACACTGAGGCCAACATTCTAGACACTGAAGACCCTGTAAGGAGAATGGCATTAGCACAGCAAATGTAAAGAAAAGACCAATGTTGAGGAGGAATTGAAGTTGAAGAGAGTAAGGAGATGGCAAATGAGCTTTAAAAATATGCCCAATAGAGGGCCTCCCTGGTGGGACAGGGGTTAAAGTCTCAGTGCTGTGAAGCTATCGCCAACCACTGTGGCATGAGTTCGATCCCCAGCCAGGGAGCTGCTATCTCACATGGCACAGGCAGACTTCTCCTGTCTTGTGCTGTTGGGGCAGCAGGCCACAGTGGTAACCTGAGACCTAACCCCTAGGCCACCAGGGAGACCCCACAATACATTAATTTCTCTGGAAGCAGGAGGTAGATTTAGATTTCTATTAGAATAATTTATTTTTTCTAGCCATAATGGATAGAAGCCAGTAGCTTTCTTTGTTGTTTGGTCATATTTACCATCGTTAGCTCATAAAATTATTTGCAAATAAAAGTGTGAAATAGTAAATAATAATAAGAAAAAGACCCAGCTTAAAAAATATTTTGTTTTATGTGAAAAGGTGGCTCCACAGGGCATTTATTAGGACAGTTGGTCCATATATTCTACATGTAAGGAAAGACTTTAGTTATAATCATTAAAATTGTCCCAAAATAGAATGAGTTACTTAGGGGAAAAAAAAAAAAAAAAAAAAACCAGACACGTAAGTGTGTGTGTGTGTCTGTGTGTTTAGGTTCTAGGTGCTAGAATATGTTAGTGGCCAAATCTCCTGGCCTCAGGAAGTTAGTTCCATTCAGTATTTTGAAGTTTCTTACAAGGTGTATTCATGATAGCTGGTGACTCTGTATTCTTCTAGGAAGTAATGACAACTGATTTGGGTCTATAGTAGGTGACAACTTGGACTGGTGAAATTTCAGGCTGCATGCTACTCAATGATTACTATTTTAAAATATCTGTATAATTAATGCTTAAGATTTGATAGAGGGGCCTCCCTGGTGGCACAAGGGGTTAAGTCTTAGCACTATGAAGTAATCTGCAGCCACTGCAGCGCCAGTTCAATCCTGGGCCAGGGAGCTGACCCACATGGTACAGTAGACCTCTCCTGTCTCACCCGCTGTATATTTATCTGCTATATTTATCCCCTCAGCAGTATATTTCAGTCAGTCTGCCTGTTCTGTTCCCCACTCTGCTCCCCACTCTGTCTCTCTCCCACTCCCCACCCCTCTGGCCTACACCACAGCTCTTATATACTTAAATAAAATAAATCTTAAGGGAAAAAAAAGACTTTATAGAGATGTTAGCAACAACACTGAAAAGAAATGGTTATCATGTTCCCACTATCACTCTACCTACATCTACCTCACAGTTTTTTCTGGTGTTAAATTTTAAAGTTAAACTGGGCCTCCCTGGTGGCGCAGTGGGTTGAGCGCAGCACCGTGAAGCTGTCCACAGCCTCTGCAGCGCCGGTTCGATACCTGGCCGGCCAGGGAGATAACCACATGGTGCGGCAGACCTCTCCTATCTTGCCTGCTGCTCCCCTCAGCAGTGTCTTCGGTCCGTCTGCCTGTTCTGCTGCCCACTCTGTCTCTGGTGAATCCTCTCACCCTCCCGTGCCTCTGGCCTGTACTCTAGTTCTTGTATAAATAAATAAATCTTAAAAAAAAAAAGTCAAACTAGCTTGTGTGTCTACACAGACTTGTACCCAAACATTCAGAGCAGTTTCATTTGCAAGAGACAAAAATTGGGAATAACTCAAATGTCCATCAATAACGCGTGGGTGAAGACACTGAGGTACATCTGGACTATAGACTATAACTCAGCAATAGGATGATCTATTGATGCACACAGTATGATGGAATTACAGGGTGTGAAAGAAGCCATAGAGTACATGTTGTGCAAAATAACTTATATAAATTCTAGAATTTGTAGATTAATCTGTAGTGACAAGACCTGTGGACAGGTTAGATAGGTGTGGGGGACAAAAGGTGGATGACAGAGGAGCATGAGAAAGCTTTGGGAGTGATGATGGATGGTGCATTATCTTGATCGTAGTTATGGTTTTGCAGGTGGATACATGGGGCAAAACTTGCTGAGTTGCATGCTTTAAAAATAAGCAGCTTATGTTATGTCAGTTACACCTCTGCACAGCTGAAAAAAAAAAAAAAAAGAAAATGCATGAAAGGAAAGGAAATACAGGAAACTGTCATCAGTAATTACCTCTGCAGTCAGGACTGGGGGCCGGATGACAGTTTCACTTTGTTGTTTACTTTTTTATGAAAACAGCCAAATAACATGTTTAAACAGTAAAGCTATTCACATGAGTAAAATAAAATAGCAGGCATTTTTGAGTTCATTAATTTCTGGGCTCAATTTCTGGACTCAGAAATTAATGGATTTGGAAAAACTTTTCAAAATGGGTGCATATAAAACCAAAAAAAGCTGCCGTCAGGAGGTCTGCTCTGAGGTGGCCTAGTTACTGAGAACCCAAAGGCTGAGCTGTAAACTCTCTTCAAGGTTCCTCACATTCCTCTTCCCTTGGGGTCAAAGTCTTTGGATTCAGCAGTAATCAGAGAATACAGTCTGCCTCTCTGGGATTAAAAATAGAAGTCGTTAGTTTAAGAAATGTGGTCATTGTTCTTTTTAAACAAGATGTACTTAGTACTTAATCCATGTAAGTCACTGTGTTGGACACTAATTGTCTTCATTGTCAGTTGTAATCACTATTGTAATCAGTAATGAGTATTGTAATCATTATTGTCATAGCAAGGCACTCTGCTAAAGGATTTTTCATGCAATATCTTTTTTTTGATGTAATATTTTGATTAATCCTATCATCTATGATCTAGGTATTATTTTGAATCCTCATTTTACAGATGGGGAAATTGAGGCAAAGAGAAGTTGAGTATCTTACCCAAGATTATAGAGCTGGGACTTTATTTATTTTTTAAAGATTTATTTATTTATGCATACAAGAACTGGGGTACAGACCAGAGGTGTGGGGTGTGAGAGAGGATTCACCAGAGAAAGTGGGGAACAGAACAGGCAGACTGACTGAAATACATTGCTGAGGGTAGCAGCAGGGAGACAGGAGGGGTCTGCTGAGCCTTGTGGGTTGCTCTTTGGCCAGCTGGGAATCGAACTCCCATTGCAGAAGCTGTGGATTGCTTCACAGTGCTGTGCTTAACCCCTTGCACCACCAGGGAGGCCCTTACAGCTGGGACTTTAGTCTCGACCACCTTCCTCCAGAACTAGTTTACTTACCTATCACATTGTACTGCCCCTCCAGAGATTTCAGACCGAGGTATTGAGGTATTCATGGTCTGGGGGCTGAAGGGGTGGAGGTAGAGAGACTAGCATAGAACACCTGGACCCCACCATTGATACAGGATGATGAAGTGGTATAGAAAGTATATGACAAGACAAAGAAGGCCCCTGACTCCATTCGGGAAAATGGGGGTAGTGGCATTTGAATGGGGTTGGATCTGAGGATGTGAACCCCTGGATAGAGGCTGACTCTAAGTTACTGGTGAATATTGGACTGCAGGGGGAGGAGGTCCTGAGTGCCCTAACCCTGCATTGTTCAAGGGTCAGCTATGGTTTAAAGAAAGACTAGATAAGTGCAGTGGGAGATATGAATGGAGCCAACTTATGAGAAGCCTTGATGAGTGTTGAGGAGACGTGGAAATTGTGCGGGATCCAGCCAACTGACATCCACCATTAGTTGAGTCCTTGAATGTGGAACCCCTGGGTAGAAAAAGATCTGCCTGCAAGTGACCCTGCACAGTTCAAACCCGTGTTGTTCAAGGGTCAGTTGTATTTGCTTTTCTCCAAATCCGATCTGCTTTCATGTTTCATTCTCCAGTGCCATTTGCACAGGCAGTTCCTTTGCCTGCCACACCCTTTCCTTCTTCTCACGGCAAATTCCCTCTGTTCTTCAAGGTCAAACTCAGAGCACCACCTCAACCACCTAACTAGGAGAATCTAAGACTTTTGCCACAAGTTCTACGAGACCATGAATGCAAATGGATTGTAACTTTGAAAGAAGAGGAGTAACTACTCTGTTTATTCGCCTTTGCTTAGGTAAGTCATCCTTGGACTGCTGGTTCAAGAAGAGGGTCTAAAAAATACTTGTTATTTTCCTATCAACTGGGAAAAAACATAGGCTTGTCTCCTTGTCCATTATCACGGCTACTTACATAAGGATATTTATTGTCAGGATGCTTTCAGTTGCAACTAACAGAAAAATAGACCTGAGTAGGGAATTTATCAGTTCATGATGCTAGAAAGTCCTGTGGACTCTAGCTTCAGATGAGGCTTGATCTAGCATTAAGATAATGTTTTTCTTCTCTGCGGTCTTCTTGCTAAAGCTGATTCCCTCTGGGAGTTCCAACATGACTAAAAACAGCGCCCAGGGCTACCTGTTTTCTCATTCACACTCAGTAGGAAAGACGTCATCTTTGTCCCAGCATTGCCAACAGTTATGATTACAACCCTGATTACAACAGCGTTGTTCACAGGCTGTAAACCAATCATCGTAGCATAAAATGCAATCATAACCTTAGCTTTAGGCGTCATCTGCTTGCCCCCTGAAGTCAGGGAAGGAGACAGTTGCCCTAGGACTGCATAGAACTCCACATATAAAACAGGATTTCTGGAAAGGGGAAAGGGGTCATCCGATAACTGTCCTCTACGGTCTGGTGTCAGAGATTCAGAGGACTTGCTCAATCAAAACCTTGATCTTTAGATCCTCATTCATTGACTCTTAGTAGCCCCTCCAAAGTTCACACTCATGGCAGCCTGTTTATTTTTATTTATTTATTTATTTAAAAAGATTTATTTATTTATGCATACAAGAACTGGGGTACAGGCCAGAGGTGCGGGGGTGAAAGGATTCACCAGAGACAGAGTGGGGAACAGAACAGGCGGATCTACTGAAATACACTGCTGAGGGGAGCAGCGGGCGAGATAGGAGAAGTCTGCTGTGCCATGTGGGTAGTTCCCTGGCTGGCAGGGGATTGAACTCATGTTGCAGAGGCTGCGGATATCTCACAGTGCTGTGTTTAACCCCTTGTGCCACCAGGGAGGCCCAGCAGCCTCTTTTTAAAAAGAGATTCTCCAACACCTTCAGAGATTCTGATTTCGTTGGCTTAAACATAAATGTTTTGTGTTCAGCTCACCAGATGATTCTAAGGGGCAGCCTGGGCTGAGAATCATGGCTTCATCTTTCTTATGCTGTCTCTTCTGCTATATGCTCAAGTTTTATGTACAGCTGAAATATTCTGACTCTCAACAAACAAGAAAGTAGGCAAACATGTAATAAAAATTGACAACTAGCTCTGAGACTCACATTTCAGGCATTTTGCAGGGTGTTTTGCTTTCATCGTGTCATTTCATCCACCATCTTAGGAGACAAAGATTATTATTTCTTTTTCACTAATGAGAAAAAATGAGGGCCAGAGAATGAATTACCCAAGGCATGCATCTAGTGCATGGCTAAGTTAGAACTTGAACGCATGTGTTTGTGAATCCCACTTAACCCCTGGTACACATTGTCTGTTCATGACTATACGAGATCTCAGGTATGGTTCATTTCTCAGCACTTTTCAGCCCATGACTCACTTTTGTCAGGGATTTGTCAGGGCCTGCCAGGTGCACCACCAACCACACTTTATGTACATTGTATGATACACAAAGACATTACATCTGCTCTGTAGCTATAGGCATAAAGTGGAGTGTGGTCTGAATGTGTGTTCACAAATTATACATCGTGCACTTGCCTTTTGTAGTACGCACACAGAGCTGTAATTTACACACATGTAAAAGATGTGGCTGCAGTAAAAGGGAGAGAACATCAACTTAGAGTCCACTTTTGGCTAACACTGTAACCTTAAGCAAAAGACAATGCTTGCTTTCACTAATTACATGATTAAACTGAGGGTCAAATAAGATCTCAGGCCTAGCAAGGTGTCCTGAAGATATATTTTTCGCCTGCTTATAAACTGTTCACAAGAGCTCTAGTCATTATCTATGATGTGTGGGCATCACCTTTATCAAAATAATGTTGCAACTGTGCATTCACGTTGGTGAGCCATCAACTCCCTCTACCCTTGTTTTCTCCTTTACTGACAAACCTTTGGAATTCTGTGTTATGTTCAAGGGTTGGTCAGAGGTTGTGAATTTAATAGAAGGCAGGAGAAAGGACAGAAGGAAAAGGAAAGAGTGGGAGAGGCATTTTTACAACTTACAGACCTGCATTTTTTTTTTAATTTTTTTATTACAAAACAAGTCACTGCTGGCTAGCTGGGATGGGCCCTTTTATATGCTCTTGGTGGGACTGTAAATTGGTATAAAAGTTTGAAGAGTTAATTATCAAATTGAAGATTAACATTTCTATTCCACTTTATATAAGATAATTAAAAAATTTAAATATAACTTCTTCTTTATACAAGATTTTGCAGAGAAAGGGATGAAAAGATAGATGATGCACTGTTAGCTGTGGTTCTCCCTGGTGGGTGGGGATGTCTGGGAGAGAAAATTTCACTTTTTACTCTCTGTTCTGTATGGTTTGAGCTGCCTAAACGTATTTATGACTTTTTGCAAAAAAAAAAAAAATACGGGGCCTCCCTGGTGGCGCAGCGGTTGAGCGTTGGGTTGCGAAGCTGCCCGCGGCCTCTGCGGCGCCGGTTCGATCCCCGGCTGCTCCCCGGCCACCAGAAGAGGGTCCCACATGGCGCGCAGACCTCTCCTGCCGCCCGCTGCTCCCCTCAGCAGTGTACTTCGGTCCTTCTGCCTGCTCTGCTCCCCGCTCTGGCTCTGGTGAATTCTCTCACCCTCCCACGCTTCTGACTGTACCCAGTGCATGTATAAACAAACAAACAAACAAATAAATAAATAAAACATGCCTCTATTTAAAAAAAAAAAATACGAAAGAAGTCTAGAGCGGAGGAGAGCTCGCTAGACATGCATGAACCGTGTCCCTGCGCCCTCAGTCCCAGGTTCCTCTCTGTCAGGCCAGCCCACAGTCCCAGAAGGGCACTGACCCCTGCCTGCCAGGCTCTCCTCGTGCTGTTTTGCAGCCCATTACCAGCTGCTTAAGCAGCAGGTTCCCGGTGGCTGGTCAGCTGGAACTGCTTCAGGAGAACAAACAGGATGGACAGAGCTGCCAGTGAAGATTACCCAGTTGGCCTCATGAACAGAAAAAAATTTAAATTTTAAAATGTCGAGGAAAACGTTAGGCACTGAACAAGTTCTTCAAGGCAATGTCTGAAGAGGAGAGTGAACGAAGTGGGTAGCCCCAAGGAATCCTTGTAAACATCCTAGGCCTCCAGTTCCATGTCCTGGGCGCTTGTCCTGTGGCTAAGATCAGACTTGTGTTCCATAGTCTGAGTCTCCTTGTCAATCCTGACCCCACCATGTCAAACTAGAGCTTCCTGGGCCTCCCTTGTGGCTCAAGGGGTTAAGATGCAATCTTTGAAGCTGCCTGCAGCCACTGCAGCACGAGAGTTCGATCCCTGGCCAGGGAGCTACCCACATGGCACAGCAGACCTCTTCTATCTCGCCCACTGCTCCCCTCAGCAGTGTATTTCAGTCGATCTTCCTGTTCTGTTCCCCACTCTGTCTCTGGTGAATCCTCTGTCTCCCCACATCTCTGGCCTGTACCCCAGTTCTTGTATGCATAAATAAATAAATCTTGAAACAAAAAAACAACTAGAGCTTCCTCTATAGAAAAATAAGCATCTTGCCATTCCTGCAGCGAGATGCCTGCAGGAGATCAAAGAGAGATGAAATAATAGAGGCAAGGAAATAAGATAAGGACTCAGGTAGAGGCATAGCAAATCCCTGGTCTGACATTTCCTAGTTCTGTAGCCGCAGGCAAATTATTTCACCTCTTTCAGCTTATATTTTCTCTTGTTTAAAATAGGAAAATGGGGCCTCCCAGGTGGCGCAGCGGTTGAGCGGTGGGTTGCGAAGCTGCTCGCAGCCTCTGCAACACCGGTTCGATCCCAGCGATCCCCGGCTGCTCCCCGGCCACCAGTGGAGGGTCCCACATGGCGCGCAGACCTCTCCTGCTGTCTACCGCTCCCCTCAGCAGTGTGTACTTCAGTCCTTCTGCCTGCTCTGCTCCCTGTTCTGGCTCTGGTGAATCCTCTCACCCTCCCGTGCTTCTGACTGTACCCAGTGCTTGTATGAATAAATAAATAAATCTTAAAAAAAAAAAATAGGAAAATGAACCTACCTGTCACATAGAGTCAGAGGTGCTGGAAGGGTTTAGCACTCTGCCTGAAATAAAGGGACACAAAATTAGTATTCCATTTATTTATGCTTGGAGCCTTCTTTCCTATCACGTACCACAATGGCAGTGGTTGCCAGTCTGGTTCTGTTATTGATTCCAAGTGTGGACTTCGGCAGATCTCAGTTCTCTCACCGGTGAAATGAACATAAGTATCCCCATCTCGTGTGGATTTTGCAAAGATTAAATGACACCCATGCACATGAAATGTGAAGGGCCTGGCTCATAGCCCCAGGAAATAGGGCCAATACAATTTGCTGGTGAAAAATTAGCATGTTTCCTAAAAAAAAAAAAAAAAAAAATAGGACTTCTGTAAAATAGTCTTCCAAATCCCGGTCTGCCTCCTCTCAGACATGCAGAAAACAAGCTGCTGGATCCACCCCTAATCTAGTCCTGAATCCTGTGCTATGAGTGCTCCTGTCCCCCCTGCCCCCCAGTCCTTCTTATTTTTGCAGCTTCTCTTCCTCTCCTTGCCCAGGCCCCTTGTTAGTCCCATTAATAAACTGCTGCTGTCATTCCCGCTCAGCCCCAGGAGCAGAGTCTCTCCAGGATGTGTGCTAGGCTGGGAGGTGAACCGTGGAGCGGCAGGAACAGCACCATTTCCACGGGGAAGTGGCACAAGGAACCAGGTTTAGCAGCAGATGCACCTCCCTGGGGCACCATCAGATAATCAGAGACTTTCATTAGCACCAGAGCCTGGCCCTTTGGCAAAGCTCCAGGGTCCCATTCAGGGACTGGAAGGTTCAGGCCTGGAGATAATGACCAGCCTGAGGGCACTGGTCTTCTGCACACTGACCTACAGTGCCCCCAGGGGCACGCATGCATGCCTGGGCTTCCAGGCAGCTAAGGAGTGTGTGGGTACTTTCCAGGCCTGAAAAAGCTGGGGAACAGGATGTGGCTGGAAAGCCCAGAAATGCACGACTGCTCTTGCTGATTGCTGACAATATTGGAACCCCGAGGTTCCCAAAAGCCTATTAATCCACCACAAGTGTAATCCAGAGAGAGCAGGTTCCCTCCCAACCTTGAAAGGATAAAGCACAATAACACTAAAGAGGTCGCTCAGGAGCTCAAGCAGCCCAGGCTGGTTTGTTGGGTATACAAGGGAGGTCAACATTTTCTACCCTCCCTTCACACACACCTCGGGGTGTGTGTGTGTGTGTGTGTGTGTGTGTGTGTGTGACACACTAGAGTTTATGCTGAGGATGGGGAGCTGGGGCACGTGTGTGTATGCGTGCGTGAGGGGGCAAAGTTTGCTGGGAAGTCAGCCCAGTTGTTTCCTCAACCAGTTACATCATACACAACCTGTTCAGGCATATATTTAGGGGAAAGTGAGTTCACGTCAAACTCACTGCTGACACGTGGTTCCTACCTGCTGCACTGTCAGCACTCCTATTCACCGCCTAGAATTATGAGCTTCTGTGCTGGCTGCAGCCCAAGGTGAACGTGAAGGAGGTCACATCTTCTTTCACTTTGTTTCTCAATTCACCACAAACATAAAAAACGCATGCGCAGTGAACCAGAGTCTGACTTGCTCTCAAAGTGTGGTTTTCAAAGTGTGGCTCACGGGCCAGCTTCTGCTTCATTTGTCAGCCTGATAGAAATGCAAATCCTCAATTGTCACCTGAAACCCACCATACCAGAGACTCTGGGGTGCCAGTTCCCCAGTTTGTGTATTAGCAGCCCTCCAAGTGATTCTCGTGGGGCTGAAATGTAAGAGCCAATGCTGTGTGTTTGAGGATAATTAAAAAAAAAAAGCCAATGTAAGGAAAGAGACTAAATTAAAATGGAATGGTAAATATGACTGTTTGCAAGTCTACAGAAATGTAAAAACTCTGGGGAGTTTTGCTTTCCTCTCTGGATGCCCACATGAGATTGATTTCTTACCATATTAAGATAATACAAAGTATGTGGACACACACACACACACACACACACACACACACACACACCCATTCCCTACCCTCTCTCCGCAGAGGCCACAGCATTCTTGGACTCAGTGTTTATCATTCCAATGTATTTTTCTTTTACTATGCATTTTCTATATAGTATTTTTGGCATTTTTTAAACTTTGTATATGTTGGACAAATTATCCATATCTGTTGGCAATTTGCTTTGTTCCATTTGCCATTGATTTTAAGATTTGTCTTTGGTGATATTGTAACAGGGTGGTCCCCAGGAAAGGGGGAAGTTCCAGGTTCCCTGCCCCACCCAAAGGAGGGTGGAGCTGAGCAGGGAGAGGAGAAGCTGCAGAAGAGACTGAGGAAGGAAGCAGGATGGAGCCAGAAGGAGACCTGGAGGAGGCGCATGGAGCCTAGAGACATGTGAAGAAACTGCGCTTGTCTTTTGGTCGTGGACTGGGTGACACAGATGTGGGTGAGACCCGTGGGGAGGTGACCATGGCAGCTTTTATCTTGATGTTGATTTTGCTCTTTTCCTTCCGGGCTTGTCTGGTTGTTTCTGATCCTTTTCTGTGGGTCCCCACTGGAAGATGCTTTAGACTTGTGGCAGGCTTTGGGGCCTTGCTCTGGGCCGATCCCATATGGATGGACTTTTACCCACGAGGGGATGGGTCACTTTGGGTGCTTCATTTAGAAACTAGACTCTTTGCCTTTCCTGTATTGTTTCCTAGTTTTATTAAAGTTCCTTCCCATTAAAGTCTCATATGTTTTGTGTTGATGCGGCGGATGGCAGAACCCATTTAGAATAGGCAATAGGCAGGTTTGCAGGGTGTGGGCTGCCCCTCTCCCTGTCCTATAACAATATTACATCTATTTTCATTTTTTAAACCAAAAAGAGGTTCAATAGTAACGCATATACTTCCTGCATACATGGTAGAAACCTAGAAAAACTGGGCAATTCATCCACATGGCTTCAGTCACCTCCTTAAATTACCTCAGCTAACACAAAGGGCTTGAAGGGGGCGGGGTTAAGCTCTGTTTTTCTGATGGACATTTAAGTTGCTTCCAAATTATTTCAGCTATTATAAATAATGCTGCAATTAACACTCTATATTCAGGTGTATGTCCCTTTGTATCAATATACAAGGGTTTCTCTCAGATATATACCTATACTTGCATTAATTTGATTATTATTAAAGTCAAACATTTTTAATGTTTGGTTTCCTCTGTGATTCAGGTTTCCCCTGTGATTTTATGTGTATCTCCTTTGTCTATTTTTCTATTGGGTTGTTTGTCATTTCTTCACAAACTTGAAGCATTTTTTAAATGTACTCTGGGTATGTATTATAAATATCTCCTTTTAATCACAGCTTATATTTTCACAATATTTATGATGTTCTGTGGTACAGATATTTTCCATTGTAATGTAGTTAAACTTATCATTTTCCCACCAAGTTGGTGCTCTGAGTTATGTTTACAAAATACTCATATTAGTAAAGACAGGTGCTATAAGAAAGAAACCCCAACATACAGTGGTTAAAGAAACAGAGATGTTTTTCTCCCTCTCACAAAACAGCCCTGGGGTGAGTTGTTCCAATTGTTGAGGTTGCTTTGCATGACATAGGCAGGCAGGAACCTTCCTGTAGGCTTACCATCCTTTTGGGCATATCATCACCTTGTACAGTGAAAGCTGGGTTACTGCCATATTCAGATTCCAACCAGCTGGAAAGAGAAGGCGCGCACAGAGAGGAAGAATACCTAAAGTCAAGTTCCAGAGCTGCAAGTGATACCCACCACTTCCTGCGAGTAATCAGTGAGCAATGTTTCATGTGCTTTCTGAGTATATTCATTTCCTTTTCGGTTGTTTGAGTTGTAGGCATTCTTTGCAAGTTCTGCTATTTTGTTGCTTTTGATTGTTAAAAATATCTTTTTATGGTATCTTTTATAAATGAAAATTCGTTTTGATGTGTTCAAATTTATCATTTTTTTATGGTTAATTATTTTTTCTGTTTTAAGATATCCTTTTCCACTCTAAAATGAAAAGGATAGGTTTACTATTCTCTTTTAAAAGCTTCAAGGTTTTGTATTTCGTTTTTAGGTCTTGGATTGATTTTTATATGTGGTGTGAGACAGGATCCAGTTTCACTTTTTTTCCCCATATGATTATCTAATGATCTCAGCTCCGTCTATTGAAGATGCTATCTCCTGATTTCAAATTCTACCTGTCATAAATCAAATGTCCAATCAAGTCTCTGATGTGTGCCAATACTGTACTTTTAAATTGTTATTGTTTAAAAACCTATCTTTTAAAAGGCTTCATTGAAGTAATATTGGTCCACAACACTGTACATGATTCAGGGGAACAGGTTCACATTTCCTTAGACAGATAACACCACGCCACCACCACCATCAAAGCACTCCTAGTCCTTTAACCTAGGTCACTGGGTCTCCTCCTGCTTTTACGCCCACCCACCACCTGAAAACTATCTTGATAGCTGGTAAATCAAGTTCTTCTACCTCTTCCCCCCCAAAGTGTCTGCTGTTATTTTCCCTGTGCAATATCATATACATTTGGGATTCTTATTGGGATTGCATTAAATCTACAAATCAACATGGAAGATTACCATCTTTAGAAGAAGAATCATCATCCTATTAGTCTAAGAACATTGTGTAACTTACCATTTACTTAGATCTTTTTTATACTTTCAATGTTTTATAATGTTCCATGTACTTTTTTTTTTTCTTGCACTACTTTGATCAAGACATCTTTTAGTTTTATTCTAGGTGTCTTTTAGTTTTTATTGCCATTGCATTATGCTATCTTCAATTTGTTTTCACTTTATAATTGCTGATTTATTAGAATAATGCTTATATCAGTATGTTGATCTTATAGCGACAGACTTGTTGAGCCTTTTTTTTTAAAAGATTTATTTCTTTATGCATACAAGGACTGGAGTATAGGCCAGAGGTGCTGGGGTGTGTGTGAGAGGATTCACCAGAGACAGAGTGGGGAGCAGAACAGGCAATTGACTGAAATACATTGCTGAGGGGGGCAGCGGGCAAGACAGGAGAGGTCTGCTGCGCCATGTGGGTCTCCTCCCCGGCCAGGGATCGAACTCGTGCTGCAGTGGCTGCAGATAGCTTCCCAGTTCTATGTCTTAACCCCTTGCGCCACCAGGGAGGCCCAGGTAACAATAATTTATTCAACATAAATATTTATTATCTGTGACATTTGAGAAATTACAGTTAGCATTGGAGATAGAAAATGAACATGGAGATATCTTACTTAGTGGGAGGACAACCAGAAAAAGATATTTTCAACACAATGGGATAATATGAAAGTGATATATATATTATGAATGCTATGAAATGTGGTTGTAGAATTGATGCCTAGAAGAAAAGTCAGAAAAGTCTTTGTAGAGGAAGAACACAGGAGGACAATAGGAAATGCCTGGCCAGGGAATGTAGGGAAGGGCAACCACTAGAAGGAACAGCATCCACAAATCAGAGTAATCATGCCTGACCCAATTTATAAAAGGTAAATAATTTCCTATGGCTGGAATATGGAGAAAATAGTGAGGGGATATGGGAAATGTCAGGCCAAACAATTTGGAATTTAACATTATAGGCAATGAAGAGTTGTTTACATTTTTTCCTTGTTTTCCAAAATAATTCATGTTCATTATAAAATTTTGGAGAAAACAAAAATAATAAAATAAAAACCATGGGGAACAACAGCAGGTAAATTTTTCTAGGAAGACACTAACGGCAAACCAATACTAGTATGCTTTGGAAAAGTAATTCTCAGAGAGGGGAGAGTTTGGAGACGTGCTCAGAGGTTATTGCATTAACATCCATGAGAGATGAAAGTCTGAATAACGACAAGAGTAAGGAGGGAGTAGGGAAAAGCCTGAGACATTCCTGGAGGAAATCAACAGAGCCTAGTGACTGGATATGAGAGAAAAGAAAGAGGGGGATGTGTAGGTGACGCTGAGATTTCTGGTTTAAGAGAACAGAATTGATCAGATTAGTTAGCTATGACTTAGGGAAGAGTACAGTCCTGAGATAATGGGATATTGGGCATCTGAACTGAAGGGGGATGGTATTTACACAAAGGCCTGGACTAGGAAACTGAAGTGAGTTTTCCAAATAAATGAACACAGCTAAATAAAAACAAACTCTTAAACTACAAGAACTAAATAGTGGTTACCACATGGAAGAGGGAGGGTGTGAGTAAATTGGGTAAAAGGGTCAATTCTATTGCGGTCAAGGGAAATTAGACTTACTGGTGATAAGCATAATGTAGTATATACAGATGTTGGTATATAAGTCTGTAAACCCAAAATTGATGTTATAAATTAATGTTGCTTCAAGGAAAAAAACAAAAAAGAACTAACTCACCTTGCAGAAAAAAACAAAACTAAAATCCAGGTGAGGAGTGTTTGTAAGGTGCCTGGAGCTGAGATATTCTCTACTTAAGATTAATTATACAGGGCCTCCCCGGTGGCGCAGCGGTTGAGCGCTGGGTTGCGAAGCTGCCCGCGGCCTCTGTGGTGCCGGTTCGATCCCCGGCTGCTCCCCGGCCACTAGAGGAGGGTCCCACATGGCGCACAGACCTCTCCTGCCGCCCGCTGCTCCCCTCAGCAGTGTACTTCGGTCCTTCTGCCTGCTCTGCTCCCTGCTCTGGCTCTGGCTCTGGTGAATTCTCTCACCCTCCCGCGCTTCTGACTGTACCCAGTGCATGTATAAACAAAACAAACAAACAAATAAATAAATAAAAACATGCCTCTATTAAAAAAAAAAAAAGATTAATTATACAAAATTCTAACAACTCTACCCAGATACTTGGCACCAAAACTTTCTTCTGTTGTTACTGAAAAATGAATCGTTAAAATATTAAAATGTATATTTGATAGATATGTGGGGACTTACACTATGATTCTTCTTATTGCTATGTATATTGAAATTTTTTATTAAAAATTTTAAAAGAAAAAATTTAGATGATCTCATCGAGTGGAATGTAAGATAATCTCATTATCTTTTCATTTACCAAACATTTATTGTCTATTATCTGCCAAATACAGAGATATAAGCTGCATGTAAGTGGTATCAGAATGGTAAAAAAAAAATGATGTGCAGAAGGAATAAACAACTGGGAGTTATTCCTAGCTAGTGTGATCTACACCACTTTTCGGGGGAACTCAGGATACAGAGCATAGATTTCTAATGGCCAAAGAGAAGCTTTGAAACTACAATGCAGAGAGGTACTAAGACACCCCCCGCCCCAGGACCTCCCACCCCCAACACACACACTTTTCACGGAATTCTTGCTATGCCCAGGGGATTAAGTGGAAGGAAGGCTAAGAGTAAGTTTCACTCTGATGTCTGGCCTTCAAAAGCTTGTCGTAGATTGGAGCATGGATATGGTCTCCATTGCAAGAAATAGTCAATATCAAGAAAGGAAAAACGTTTTTAAAGCAGAAATGTGACTCCAAACCTGTCACGGAATGATTGATTTCAGTTGCTTTCTCAATCCTAAGGCCCAGGCATTATCATTCTTTTTAACCTGCTCAGGTTTTCAATTTACAAGAGTTCAGAAAACCCATTGTATCCTCTGCCTGCTTCTGCCTCGGGGCAACTTGATGTCACCTGACTGCATTTGTTTCCTGACCTAGCCTCTGCTTCAGGATAAATAAAAACTTCCCTCACACCCAGCTTTCGCTTTGTTGACTGTTCAACACCCTCTTTACTTTCGGAGAGAGGGAATCTGGGCCAGCGGTCTCCCAAACAGAGGAAAGATGAGCCTTAGCGGCCAGCTTTGCAGGTGCAATCCCATCAGCATCTATTGGACTCCAAGAAAAGCAGCGTGGGGCCCACACAGCAATAAACAGGGCCTGCCCCCCGGGAGCTTCCAGGTCCCCCCCTGATGCGATGACAGGCAGGCTTCCTGGAGAGACGATCGCCCCCACTGCGGGGCCGCACCTGAGCCAGGTAAGCAGCCGGGGGTGGGGGGGGGGCAGAGGAAGCCCCAGGTCGGCTCTAGGCGCCCACCAGACCGGCTGGACTCTCCCGCACCCCATGGAGGGCCTTTCCCCCTTCCCGGAGCCTGCGGGAGATGAAATATCCTTTCCCTACTACTGTGGTAATTGACTCTCAGCGCTTCGGGCCCCGATCCCTTTTGAGGAGCCACTGCGCCCCCCAGCGGCTAGACGGCGGCGGAACCCCCCCCCCACCCGGGCAGCCGGGAACCTGAAAATCCTCCTTAAAGAGCTCGCGGCCTCTGGCCCCGCCCCTCCGCGAGTCCCGCCCCCGACGCCACCTCGTCCGGCGGCGCCGATTGGTTGGCTCCCGTGCGTGCAGACGTCGCGTCGCGGGGCGGGGCGGGGGACGTCGTCTGTGGGGCCTCCGCCGTGTCCTCGGCCGCCGCTCCCACCGCCGCGCGGCGTCCGCCCCTCGCCCGACCTCCCGCGGGCCGCGCGCTGCCGGGGCGCGGGCGGTGTCGCGGCGCCCACGTCCCCGCCGAGCCTCCGCTGCCCGCCGGCGGCGCTCCCCGGCCGGGGCCGGGCGGGGGAGGGGTGGAAGATGGCGCCGGCGCCCCGAGGCGCCCGTGAGGAGCCGCGGCGGGAGCGGCGGCGCGGGCCGCGGGGCCGGCTCCTGGGCCTGGTGCAGGCCGCGCTGCTGCTGCTGCTGCCGGCCGCGCGGGCGGGCCCCTGCCCCGCGCCCTGCTCCTGCCGCGCCCCGCTGCTGGACTGCAGCCGCCGCAAGGTGCCCGCCGCGGGCTGGGGCGCGCTGTCGCCGCCGCTGCCCCCCGACGCCGCCAGCCTGTGAGTGGGGCGGGGGGCGGGGCGGGGGGGCGGGGGCGCCCCGCGGGGGGCCGGGGGGCCTGGCCCGAGGGCGCGGCCGGGCCGAAGTTCTGAAGGGAGACGCCGTCGCCGCGTGGGGGGCTGCCCCGGGAGTGGGGGGCCGGCGCCCCTGTGCGAGGCGCCGAGCTCCCGTCTGCACACGGCTGCGACGGGCGCCCGGGCGCGGGGCCGCGGGGCCGGAGCAGGTGGGCGCGGTGGGCGCCCCGGCTGGGAAGCCCCCGCGCGCACTCGGGGTGGTTCGGGCGCGGCGAGCTCCTCGCCCACTTCGGGCCTCCTCGGCCCCCCAGCTGGAGAGGTCTCCAGGCACGTGGTGCTGGAACCCAGATCCCCCGCAGGCCTGGGGACTGCCTTGTTCCCAGTCTGCGTCTTGGTGGTTTTGGTACTTTGCAGGGTTGAAAACCTCGTCTCTGTTTGGAGCTCCGGCCCCTAAACCCAAACATAGATCTCTCCACCTGGCGTTCTTGAGCTGCCGTAGGATTCAGTGTAAGGAAGGGAAGGAAAGCTCTTTGCAAAATCATGCGATGCTTTAATTGTTTTCAGTGCATTTCCTTGTGGCAAAGAACCTAAAAATCATTCCTCTTTATGTATGTGAAGCAAGCCCCATGGTTGGAGGAATTCTTCTGGAGACTCCTGCTGAGGGCTCATCTTGACAGGCCTGTGTTAGACAGTGGCACCTGGAGAGCTCATTAGTCTGAGTCAGCCTGTTGGCTTTAAGAGCAACAGTAGGTATTAAATGCTGAATTACGGGGCTTCCTAACCACTAACATACAGTTACTTCGCTGCCACTAACTGAGCAACACGTTTATTAATTGACAGACGTCTGATAAGTAATGATTTGTATTTATTTATTAATTGACAGACACCTTAAAAAAAGACTTGTCAGAGAAAAAGAACAACTTGTGATACATTTAAAATAGGAGGCATTGTTTGGGTTTTCATTGGAAATAGACTACAAAGCGTTTTCTACTTCAGAGGTTGGAGTTTTTTCCATTCGCAAATAGGCTGAGCTTAGATAGGAAAGAAAGCTACCTCTCACAGTCCTTGAGAAAATTACAGTAAAATAACCAAATGCTGTAGTAACATCAATTTGCAATATAATAAATGCTTTGTTATTTTATGATAACAAGATTTGTAGCTATTTCTGGTTCTGTTGATGCACATAAAATTAAAAAGATTCATATTAATGTAGCCACAATCTGAATCAAACCGCATACAGCATCTTTGTTATGCAGCACGTGCCTTTTCCTAAGAAATTCATGGACTAGCTACTTAATTTTGAGAGAATAAAACTGGTGCAAGTTTCAAAATAAGTTTTATTTAATGGTAATTACAAGAAATGTGGCCTACTTTTCAAGATCCGCCATTGGTAGATAAACAGTAATTAGGAATAGTTTTATATATTCTGTGTGGATTTGATTTTTGTTTAATAAAGACCAAATTACCCAAAGCCAAATGACATTCAAAAATTTTTAAAGTCCCATGATGGAATTGACATTTTCACTTGAATTGAAATCCCTTGGAAAATAACTCTGTTGATGAAATGTAATAGGGTGGACGTTTTTTTTTTTCCTTTTTTGGGAAGTCTTACATTAGAAGAACTTGGAATATTAAGATGGGTTTGTGCTGTTTTAAGCTGAGAAATGTAGCATAATCCAACAGTTGCCCTCAGCTACAAAACCAGGTATACATACATGGCTCAATCCCTGTCTCCCTGTAAGGGGAGAGGGGCTAGCGATTGAGTTAATAATTGGCCATGCTTACATGAGGAAGCCTCCATAAAAATCCCAAAAGTATGGAGTTTGGAGAGCTGCTGGGTTCGTGAAACATGTGCCTCCTGGGAGGGTGGTGCACCTGAATTCCATGCTTTTGCACCAGACTTTTCCAGATCTTGGCCTGCGGTCTCTCTTCATCTGGCTGTTCATCTGTGTTCTCTCTCATGTCCGTTTATTGTATAATAAACCAGTAAATATGTTTCCTTGAGTTTTGCGAGCTATTGTAGCAAGTGATTAAATCCAAGGGGGGTGTTGTGGGAACCTCTGATTGTAGCCAAGTCAGTTGTGGGTACATGGGGACCTACTCCTTTGTAATTGGTATCTAAAATGGGGGGCAGTCTTGTGAGACTGAGCCCTTAGCTTGTGAGGTCTGACTACAGTTAGTGTCATAATATAATTGAATTGTAGGACATCTGCATGGTGTCATAGAATTGGTTGCTGTGTGGGGAGAAAACCCTTACATCTTATGTCAGGAGTATTGTGTGTATGACTAAAGGAAGAAAGAGGTGACAAAAACTGTGTGACCACACATTAGACCCCTAAACTTTCTTGTAGGCCCATCTGTGCATAACCTTGTAAAATACAGTTTTAGGAAGAATCCTGCTAAAGTCAGTATATCAAGAAGGCCCCCACCCCCCTGTATTTGACTCTTAATATCTGATTGGGTTCTTGCTCCTCCATGTGTCACCACCCTAGCTTACATTCAGCAAGAATCCTGTTAGGTGTGATTAGGCAGAGATAACCCCTCATCTGCCATTATTTCCTTTTAGAAATTTTTTATCCATTGACCCCATCCTGTTCTATTCTTGGCTATAAATTCCTACTTACTCATGCAGTATTTGGAGTGAACCAATTTATCCCACTGCAAAATTTCATTGCATTGTTTCACACCTATTGAGAGATCATTCCTCCCATACACACCCAGGTCTTCTTCCCAGTCTTTACCAGGTGTCAGTGAACATTTTTTCTTTAACAATTATTGTGTCAAAACTCACATAGAATCAGATTCATCATTGAACACCCTCCAGGCCTTTCACTCTGGACCGTTAATTCATACCTTTGAAGTTTTTTTTTTTTTAAATATTTACTTATTTATGCATATAAGAGCTAGGGTACAGGCCAGAGATGCAGGGGGGTGAGAGGATTCACCAGAGACTGAGTGGGGAGCAGAACAGACAGATGTACTGAAATACACTGCTGAGGGGAGCAGTGGGAGAGACAGGAGAGGTCTCCTGTGCCTTGTGGGTTACCTCCCTGGCCAGGGCTAGAACTCGGGCTGCAGTGGCTGCGGATAGCTTCATAGTGCTGCGTCTTAACACCTTGTGCCACCAGGGATGCCCCCTTTGAAGTTTTATCTGCATTCCTGACTGACTGACTGACTGGGAATCCATTGGTGAGTCTGAATCCTGAACTATTGCTCTGGACAAATGACTGTGAAGCTGGTAATGCCAGATTTTGATTCTCTCTCTCTCTCTTTTTTTTAATAATAGAGCTTTTAGGTGTTTTTGTTTTTATCTTTTTTTTTTTTTTTAATACAAGAGCTGGGGTACAGTCAGAGGCATGGGAGGGTGAGAAGATTCACCAGAGACAGAGCGGGGAACAGAATGGGCAGATGGACCGAAAGCACTGCTGAGGGGAGCAGTGAGCGGGACAGGAGAGGTCTCTCTTGCTATGTGGGACTCTCCCAGGCAGGCCGGGAATGGAACCCGTGCTGCAGAGGCTGTGGACAGCTTCACAGCATGGCGCTCAACCCGCTGTGCCACCGGGGAGGCCCCAGATTTTGATTATTAAGAGTCTAAATAGACTCCAGAAGATGAATTTAGAGTCCCACATTTCTTTGCAAGAAGCTTGGTTAAGAATCCAAGGCAGTAAACTTTTTGTAAACTGAGTTGAGTTGTTGAGTCTTAGGTTTCTTTGAAAGGTACCTGCTAGGCTGGAAATCCTTTCTTCCTAGCTCTTTTTTTCTGAATGGGAGTTAGACCCTGACCATCTGGGCTGAAAGTTTCTTTTTCCTGCTTTATTTAATTTTTTTTTAAGATTTATTTATTTATGCATACAAGAGCTGGGGTACAGGTGAGAGGTTGGGGAGAGGGTGAGAGGATTCACCAGAGACAGAGTAGGGAACAGAACAGGCAGATTGACTGAAATACAACTGCTGAAGGGAGCAGTGGGTGAGACAGGAGGTCTGCTGCTCCATGTGGGTTGCTCCCTGGCTGGCCAGGGATAGAACTCATGCATGCGGCAGTAGCTGCAAAGAGCTTCACAGTGCTGCAACTTAACCCCCTGTGCCACCAGGGAGCCCCATTTTTTAATTTATTTTAATAGTGATCTCTGACTCCTGGCCCTGAATGTCTTTCTGGCTCCCTTATGATAATTCTCAGTTTTCTGTGTTGGATCCTGCTGCTCATATTGGAACCTTCTCATTTGACTCAAGCCTTCTTGAATCCTTGATGACTATGTTTCCACCAGCTCTGTTTACTTTTCTAGGGATGACTTTGCTGAAAATGATATGGAACTTAATAAACCTATTTGGGGGACATGAGAACTCTGCAAACTGGATCCTTTAAGATCTCTGCCTTTTTATTGCTGCTGCTCCTCCTTCCCATTACCATCTTCAATTTTCCCTCCAGCTCCCTTGAATCCTTTGATAGGGTCCTCTTCCAAGCTCCCTCTTTTTTCTCCTGTCAGACCTATTTTTCCTTGAGTCTCTATAATGACTTGAACTTTGGGTCACCTGCCCTCCACCGTAGACTCTGAGGGGTCTTGGTGGGGAGGGGAACCCATGTATTTAACCTTTTTAGGTTTTTGCTTTTGTGATGCTTGCCTAACATGCATGTGTTATAAACGTAGGTGACGGGGGCGATACCTTGAGATGATGACTATCTTTGGTGTTGTAATATGTCTACCTAAAATAAAAGTCTAGGTCATTCTAGGTGAGATACACTATTGAAACATTCATTACTAAACACAAATTTCGGTTTATTTTTGGCATCTTGTTTTTATACAGTATAGTTTGTGCTGTTTTATACAAACTATATATTTGGAACTGTTGGTAAACCTGTCCTTTGCCAGATTGATTGTGCCTCTAGAAAATGGAAAACTGTATATTTGTAAATTTACTTTTCTATTGCACATCACTGATTGATAGACCCTAATTGGTCTACTTTCTAATTGTTACTGTAAAAAGGAAGGTCACTAATGGTTGAAAATTAGAATCAATATGTAAAAGTGAAAATACTAGAAAACATATGAAGAGAAACATTGTATGCAAAGTATGCAAGGTATGAAGAATACATTTTTTTCAGGGAAGAAAATAATTTTGTTCTAAGGTATGCTGACTGGTTGCTTCAGAATGAGAAAGAAGAAAAATTGGACAAAAACTAAATGGGTATTAGCAAGATGGTTGTTGAAGGTTTACAAAATGGGAATTATATGTGGTCAAGTTGCTGAGTATGAATGGAATTAAAAAGTTAAATTTTAGGGCCTCCTTGATGGTACAGGGGTTAAAGACAGCACATCAAGCTGTCACCAGCCACTGTAGCACAAGTTCAATTCCCCACCGGCCAGGGAGCTACCAACATGGCGCAGCAGACCTTTCCTGTCTTGCCCGCTGCTCCCCTCAGCAGTGTATTTCTGTAGATCTGCCTGTTCTGCTCCCCACTCTCTCTGATCAGTCTTCTCACCCTCCCCACCTCTGGCTTACACCCCAGTTCTTGTATGCATAAATAAATAAATCTTTAAAATAAAAATAAAACCAAGACTCGGATCATTATACTGTCTCATTACAGGGACAGAAATATCATTAAAAAAATTGAATTTTAGTATCATAAGTATGATGGAAAAACTGAATCAATGTTTTCTTTTTGTTCTGCTCTTTTTAAGAAATTGTCAAAAGGCTTTCTTTTACCTTTGAAATAGTGTGCTTTAAGGAACAAAGATTTTATGTCTTA